ATACAATATACTTTTTACCATTTTTAACATTCCCAAAGTTTACATAGGTTCATCTAAATTTTTTTTTTCTGATATTATTTTGTATTATTATTAGCATCAGCTGGATTATCTTAATTTTCATTTAATATGAAAATATCTTCTAAAGTTTTAATATTAATATTTGTATTTTCTTCATTAGAATTAGGGCTGAGCTTTTTAATAATTTCAGCTATTAAAGGTTTCATTATACTATGAATAGAATAATTACTACTTTCAAAATACCTAGTTGCTTTCTTAAAAAGTCCTAAAATTGGAATTAGGTTATAAAGTAAGTTCTCTTCATCGTTTGTAAGCATAATTTTTGTTAATCATTAAGAATCCTTTTTGGAATTTTTGTCAGTTTTCTTAGCCAAATTAGCTTCAAATGTACAAATATATTCTTTTAACTCTAAAAGCTAACATCAAGCTAAGTAACTGAAGTTTCAGTGAGTTGATATATCAGTGATGACATGTCTTAACATTAGTTAAAATCATTTCTTTCAGCACTAATACCATTCAGTTAACATTTAGCTGATTCAGTCATATGATTCAGCAAAAATTCAGCTTAAGTTACAAAAATCGATAGTCAATTATTATACCACACATAATTTAGCATTATTTTAGCATTAGATCTTTCATCAAATATTTAGCTAATTCAATTATGTGATTCAGAAAAAATTCAGCTTAAGTTACAAAAATTGATAGTAATTTATTACATCACACATAATTTAGCATTATTTCAGCATTAAGACCTTTCAGTTATAATATTTAGCAAAATTTCAGTTAGACTCAAGATTTAGCAATAAATCGACTATATCTTACTGGTTGAAATCTGTTGAGCCAATTTTTGCAAAATTATAAAAACATTCTGAGAGTAATCATCCCCCAAAGAGATGATAAAAATTGTCTCTAAAATAATGAACAATTGTTTCTAAAGAGATGATATAATTTGTCTCCAAAGGAATGATAAAAATTGTCTCTAAAGGAATAAACAATCATTTTCAAAGGAATGATAGGAATCATTTCTAAAAGAACGAACAATTGTTTCCAAAGAGACGATAGAAGCTGTTCCTAAAGGAATGATATAATCATCCTAAAAGAGACGATAGAAATCATCTTAAAAGGAATGAATATTCGTTCCTAAAGAGATGATAAAAATTGTCTTAAAGGAACAAATATTTGTTCCCAAAGAAATGATAGAAATTGTCCCTAAAGGAATGAAATATCATTCCCAAAGAGATGATAGAAATTGTCCCTAAAGGAACAAAATATTATTTCCAAAGAGACAATAGAAATTGTCCTTAAAGGAACGATTCAATTATTGTTCTGAAAGAATAATTTTTGTTATCATTCTATTGAAATGATACATCATTGTTCCTTTAGAATAATGATTTTTTTATCGTTCAAAAAGAATGATGTTTTTTCATTGTTCTGAAAGAATGATTTTTTCATCATTTTTAAGGAATAATACATTATCATTCTGAAAGAATGATGATTTTTTTTATCATACTTTTGAAACGATTCATCATTATTTTTTTAGAACGATTCATCATCATTTCTTTAGAACGATTTATCATCGTTCTGAAAGAATAATGTTTTTATTATCATTCTTTTAGAACAATTCATCATCGTTTCTTTAGAACAATGATTTTTTTATCATTCTTTCAGAACAATTAAATTATCGTTCTGAAAAGAATGATGATTTTTTTATTGTTCTTTCAGAATGATTTATCATCATTCCGAAAAGAATGATATTTTTTTATCATTCTTTCAGAATGATAATTTAATCATTCTAAAAAGGACGATGTTTTTTTATCATTCTGAAATGACTGATTTTTTTATTGTTCTTTGGAACAATACATAATCATTCCTTTAGAACAATATTTTTTTATCATTCTATTGAAACAATATATAATCGTTCCTTTAGAATGATATTTTACATTGTTCTATTAGAATGATTAAACTATTGTTCCTTTAAAACAATTTTCTATATCATTCTTAAGAAATGATTAAATTATTATTCCTTTCGAATAATTTTATCATCATTCGTAAGAAACAATCAAACTATCGTTGATTTTGCAATCGGATGATGCAAAATCATCCATTTAGAGTATTTATGATAGTAAAAAATAATAACTAAATTTCAGATAAATTAAAATTTTAGTTCAGTTTATAGTATAAAACTGACTAACTTTCAAAATATTCTGAATAAATTTTTTTTTTCTAGTGAGATGATTTTTTGACTTTTTCCTTTTTTTTTTCTTGTTTTTTAGGAAATTCTTATTTTGGAATTAAGGTAAGCGAATTAGAAGTGACTTTTGTGACATTTTCCTTTCTTTTTCTTGTTTTTTAGGAAATTCTTATTTTGAGAATTAAGGTAAGCAAATCGAAAGTTACTTTTAGATGGTTTTTAACTCTTTTTCTTTATTTTTCTTAGGAAAATTCTCTTTTTAAAGCTAAGATAATCCTTTTATAGGGTACTTTTGGATGGTTTTTAACATTTTTCTTTATTTTATTTTTACTTTCTTTAGGAATATATTAAGGTAAGCCTTTTGAAGGTGGTATTTTAGTGGTTTTCTAAATGTTTTCTTATTTTTTCTTTACTTTTTTTAGGAATACATTAAGATAAGCTTTTTGAAGATCATTTTTTGGTGTTTTATAACTGTTTTCTTTATTTTTTCTTTACTTTTTTTTTAGGAATACATCAAGATATGCCTTTCAGAGGTGATATTTTGATGGTTTTCTAATTCTTTTTTATTTTTTCTTTACATTTCTTTAGGAATATATTAAGGTAAGCCTTTCGAAAATAGTTTTTAGTAGGTTTTCTAACTGATTTCCTTTACTTTTTTTTAAAAATACATTAAGATAAGTAAATCAGAGGTGGTTTTTAATGGTTTTTAACTGTTTTCTTTATTTTTTCTTATTTTTAAAAATTCAAATGTATCTTTTTTTAAATAAAATATAATACAATATATATTTTTTTTGAGTAATTTATTATGTAATAATAAAATAAATTATAAATCATAAATAAACAAAAAATGAGTTTTATTAATTTCAATTTTTTAATTGATTTTTGCTGATTGTTGACCGATTTTAAGCTGATTTATGTTGAATTTTAACTAATTTTTAATATAAATGCTGATTGATAGCCAATTTTCTATTTATTCAAAGTGCTGATTTTTTTGGTAATGATCAGCAGAATTAGACTATATTTTGGTCAACTTTCAGCATTTTAAATGTGACGAATTGTATTATTTTGCCTAGTGATATATCAAACAATTACCAATCGTTAATGTTGAATGTTTTTTTATGTGGCATCTGAATTGGGCAATTTGACTATAACTAAAAATGCTGATTGTTTTAGTAATAATCAGTATAAATTAGATTATATTTTGGCCAACATTCAACACTTTTAAAAAGTGATGAAATGGATTATTTCGATTAGTAACTTTATCAGAATAATAGATTATATGAATAATTTGATAAAAATCTGTATAAAATTTTATAAATCTGTATATTATTTGATCAAAAATAATCATATATACTGTAATTTTATCTGAATTTTGATCGAATGATCAGATTTTGAATAAACAGATCACATCTTTACTTTAACTTCTGAGATTTCTAATCAAAAGGAGAGTTGAAAGGAAAGTAAAGTTAGTCACCATCTCACAAAATAAAGACCAAGAAAATGTATTAAAACCAAGTGTAGTTGAATTATATAAGGCATTCAGAGGAAAGAAATAACTTCTAGTTGTTAGAGTAAAGAAAGAATAAAAAAAGAATTAGTAGATTTCACATTTCTTAAGGAGCTAAACATGATAGAAGAAAAAGAAGTAGTAAAATAAACTGATAAGATTAAAAATGGGCATCATAATTAAGAAGTTGCAACTTGATAAGTTACAACTTGAGTTACAACTTGATTGCAACTTTTTGTAAATTTATTTTAATATAAAAATTCATAAATGGTTGCAATTCAAAATGTTACAACTTAAGTTGCAACTAGTTAAAAATTTTAAAAATAATTATGGGAACCATCTTTAGGTAAGATTATAAGAAAGACTAAAATAGTTAACTCAGAAAGTTATACTTTAGAAGATAAAATAAAATTTGAAAAAAAATGAGTTGGAGATCCAGAAAGACCACATAGAAATCTTTTCTCATTAAGTAATAGAAAGCCATAGTTTCTAAAATGTCAAACTCAAAATATGCTTTAATGAAATAATGGTCTAGTTGACTATGTTGAAGCTTTATATATATCACAACTTGTAACATCTACTTGAGAAGAAATTACAAGATTTCTTCAAATAGAACTTAATAGAAAAGAATAGATAAAGACAGTATTGGTTGCATATTATAATTATTTTAAAACAGATCGACTTTTAGATAAAACTATAAATATACTTTTAAGAATACTTATTATAAAGGAAAAATGTGACTAATTTTTTTTAAAAATATATAAAGGAACATATAATTCGCTTTGGCTCAGAAATAGATGAGAAAATTCAAAAAATACTACAAAGTGGATTTGATCAGCTTGAATACTTATTTGAATTAACATAATATTAATTGAGGTATATACTCTTTGATGAGCTATAAGAGGATCTTACATTCCTATTTTTAAGAAACTTGCTAATATAAAATATATAATTAATCTGAATAATTATGTGCTTATAGATCAAGAAACAAATAAGCCTTCTGAAAAGTACCTTCAATGTGCTTTAGGTGTATATTTTATTTATCAGAATAGGCATACAAAGCATCTTGAAAAAAATCTTCTAAGCAAAGAAGCATAAGTCTTACTTAGATGTTATTAAGCTAAATAGTATTCTAATGCCTTTATTATTATTATTATTATGTTTTGTTTTTGGAAAAGGTGTTGATGAAGAAAAAGATTCAGGACTAATTGCCATGTTATCTTTTTCTTGAGTATCCATAATTGGTGAAATAATATCATCTTTATTAAAGTCTTTATCTAAGAATTATTTTACTATTAATGTATCAGGAAATGAAGTAGCAGCTTTAATAACATTAGAAATAGTTGAAGAAATTTGATGCATTCCATGATCTTCATTTTCAGTTTCATGAAGAGTGTAAGCACAAGTATATGCTAAGTTATGAATATATTCTTTATTGTTGAAGTTGGCTTTAATATATGTATTTAGGAAAAATTATTTATCATATTCTTCATTTAGTTTGCGAACTAACCAGAAGATTTCTGGAGAAGCAAATTCTAGATATTCAGCAATAATTCTATCTCTAGCTTCTAATTTGGAAGTAATAATATTTTTCATTTTAAGAAAGTTTGCGTATTATGGGTAAAATTTTTTGAAAAGTTTTAAAGTAAAAGTAGACATATTATAAAATTGTTTTTAAGAGTTCTTTTGTTATTAGAAATTGTTTTAAAGGTTCTTTTGTTATTAGAATATAAAGTTTATAAAAAGTGTTTAATAAAAAGCGAAAAGTTTTAAAGTTTTGTTTTTTCAAAATTTATGGCCTGGAGTGAAAGGAGAAATGGGCCTGCAAATATCTTAATGCGGGCTGACGTGACATTTTTTGATAGGTACGTAAGGAAGTCGAACAGAATGATAATGTATCATACAAATTGTAATTAAGTTACTAAATTATTACAAACTATAAAAATTATTATCGCTTAATACAGTCCCCGGTGAAAAGAATGGTGGTAAAATCTGCATCAATTTTTATGCTGTGGATTTACCGCTTTTCGGAATTAAGCATTGATTATATGCCCAAATCGGACATTGGAATCAGAATTTAAAAGGTATATTAAAAAAATAAGGTTT